AAACAGAGGTGGTGTGCTGGGATTTTAGAACTGAACTATGAGCAGGACACATAGACGTGTGGAAATCATTCAAACATGTGGTCTTTCGATTACTGACCCTCGTTCTAGCACCAACCACTGGAACATTTCTTGACTCACTACTGGTAAGGCCCTAACAGTAGCACAGCTGCCAGTTTGTTAATCACATTTTGTGGGCGTGCGTGTGTGTATATGCACTCCTGGGAAAATTGGGCGTGTGTATCTCTGTCATGTAAGGAATGACAAATCTCACACACACACACACACACACACACACACACACACACACACACACACACACACACACACACACACACACACACACACACACACACACACACACACACACACACACACACACACACACACACACACACACACACACACACACACACACACAAAGTAGGGAAGAAGAAAAACACACTTGTGTCAAGAATAATAATCAAGCCCAATAATGCACCTAGACCACAGCCTGCTAACTCAGCCAGCCTGAGTTCTTCAGCTGAACACACTGTTGATGGAACAGCTGCAAGGAATGCTTCAACCAGCTATTGTAATTTTTCTATTCTATTTTCTATAATTACAGAATCCTTTTGCAAATCTTCTCAGGTCCAATTTATTTTGAGAAGCAACCTAAAGTCATGTTTCAGGCCTGTGAATGACCATGCATTGCTACAACACAGCTGTACTTCGCCTGGGTTTGGATATTTTATTTATTTTATTTATTTATAGCTACGACCAAGTGCGATCAAACAGTTTCAGTGAAACAGTGAAAAAGAAGTAAACCTAGAGCCAGGATTATTATTCCATTCTCAAATTGTGCATTCGTCTAGGATTTCTTTTTCACAATAATTGTCAAGTCAAGTTTCTTAATATAAATACCAATTTGCCTAAAGAGGCTTTAGAATATGTAGAGCCAACAGGTTCTCATCCCCATCGTCAAATACCGACGATGCTTTGTCACATCCCTTGGTGTCTCATACCATAAAAAGATCATGGTCTTGGTTAAAATAAGTATATTAAGTCACATATGTAATATTCTGTAACTTCAAACTTTAAATAAGTCAACAATGAATATTGGTTTCCCATGGGACACAAAACCTGTTCCCTCCTGGGCTCAAGTCCGGTGTTTGTCTGATCCAGCCATCCACCCTAACCTCTTCCTTATGCAGACTTTGTCTCTCTTTATACTGCGTCACCTGACATGAATGGGTGTAGTTAGTTTAAAGCCTGGTGCGTTCCATCGAGGGGTATGACAAAATGTCAGTATTTGGTAACTGGGGAACGACAACAGGCTGGATACCCTCTGTCCTCTGACCCCTGAATCACAGGAAAGGAAATAAACCTTTCACAGGAAAAAATGATCCAAGCTTCATCAATGATGATGATACTTTGCTTTTGATGCTTCTGAATATAAAAGAAAAACAACGTTTTTAGTCATAAAAGTTTACAGCCTGCTGTGCTGTTATCCTGCATCACTCTGTGTACTGTGCACTCTGAAAAAAGGCAGTGACTCGACTGACAAAATGAAATTCCCTTCTGGGGAAGATTAGGGGGAAGCCCTAGGAATTTCTGTAGAATAACTACAGATTCAGCAGATAATGTAGAATGTGGATTCTACCTGCTCATTTTGTGCATGTAACTTCGGATTACTTTTAGTCTTGAGTTTGTATGTAAAAGGTTGGGTAAGGGTTTGTAGGGTAATACATTTGTCTTTACCACAACTACAGTAGAATCCGTTAAAAAAAAAGAAAAATGGCTGAAAGAATTCTCCTGGTGAAAAGTGGCCACTGACAACACTGTATATTAAGCGAGGTGAACTAAGGGTCAGTCTTTAGTATTCCTCCTGGGATCATAAATACTTCATCTGATGTTAATAGTTTCCTCCCCTCACAACACCATTATTTCATACACTGTTTGTTCTCCCACATCATGTACATACAGTTTAGATTATAACGACAGGCCTGTCCCTCATTCATATTACTGTCCTTAGGAGAAGGAAACCCAGAAGGGAGTAACATCCTGCAAGGAGGGCAGGGTCAGGAAAAGACCAGTCCAATTCATGGCTATACTGAGTCACAGGAATAACCCCACAAATTTACTGTACAGCCATGCTTGCTCACTTCCAGGAAAAGGATCCTAGTGCCTGAAACATTATTATGAATCTGAAAGGGCCATAGCAGTGAGCTTGGTTTTGTACTTCAAATGATGTTACTGAGTGTTAATACAGTGTTTACAATAAATCATAAATGTGAAATGAGTTGCATAAAACCTTTTTTGGAAAAATCTGATGAATTGCTTTGTGTTTTTTTAACTCAGATTTTATGCATAGGGTAGCGTGTTATATATATATATATTTTTTTTTAATTGCAATATATTGAATCGTAACCCTTACATCGTGATACGTATGGTATCGCCTGATTCTTGCCCTAGCCCTACTGTGGAGCCAGAAAGAAGTGAGCTTACCAGACCTCATTCCTCATGTCTGCTTTAGGCTATAGGCTCCAGGATACATTAGCCACTACTAGCATAACACAGCCCATTCTCTGACCCAGCTGTTGGCAGTCTAGTTTCATTGTGGGGAATGCAGGCGCCAGATGTTGACAAGAAGAATGTGCAGAATAAATAATGATGATATGTTTGGTTCTGCTGCATCAATTATGATCCTTGTTTTTTTTAAACTAGGAGCAATGCTAAATTGTTGGACTACCCTTTTACGTACAGATCTGGGACATGCTTAGCCTAGCTTAGCCTAAAGACTGGAAGCAGGGGGAAACAGCTAGCCTGGCTCTGTCCACAATTGACACCTATCTACATCTCTAAAGCTCACCTAGTAACAGGCTGTATCTAACTGATCTAATCTATACTCAAACAGGAATGTCAAACCAAGACTTTGTGGAGTTACATGCCGGATCTATTTCTTGATCAACAACAACAAAAACATGTAAAACCAATAAGAAGCTGCTGGAAGATACATACAGGTAGATAACACAACATTTAAGGGCAAAAATGTTCTGTATATGAATGATGAATGATTATAATATTTAGATTAGATGATGATGATAAATGCGGACCGCCAACTTTATCACATCTGTTCCCATTCTTCTGAGAGCAAACCTGTTCTTTATGTTTTAACGTCTCCATCACACTGTAACAACACTCTCATATCGATATATTATGATTCACAGGTATCATATCTCAAGGAATGGGAAGTTTGCCAAATGCTTGAACTTATCTGAAGACAGATAAAAGATAACACTCAAGTATTGATGCACAAACAGAGATAACAGTTCCATAATGTAGCAGTCCCATTAACTCAAGCTGATCCACTGAACAGTGAGTGAATGGTGGGTGTCACAGTCCTGATAAGGAAAAACTGTGTATGAAAATAAATATGGCTTTTCATTGTAAATAAATATATTTACTTGCTGCTGTGAAACTGAAAAAGGGGAGTGACTCAGGCTGAATATTTACTCCAATGTCTTAAAACCACTGCTGACACGGCTGGTTACTAAGAACTTCAGACATCCACTTAGTGATGAGTGTACAAATATGGATCAACACAGTCCAGACCTTTAGAGACAGGCCTTCATTACTAAGTTCCTCTTTTTGTAAGTGTATTAGATCATACTTCATACCTCATACAGAGGCCTGCTGAGTTTATTTGCTATTGCCGCTGTTTTGGACACTTCCTCCAGGTGTTGTCATGGTAACTTCAGCATAATATGTACTTCCGCAAAACTAATTCCATCAAGAAAACACTCATCACACACACACACACACACACACACACACACACACACACACACACACACACACACACACACACACACACACACACACACACACACACACACACACACACACACACACACACGGCCTTCACAATGGATTGGCCTGCCTTCATCTGTCATACCCAGTGGCAGCAGTGTAAACCATTCAGTATGTGGGGTTTAAGCTACATTCACATGGATCCAGGCAGATGTTAGCCGATGAGAGCAGGACGGTAAACTTAGGTGAGGCCGGCAGAGAACACCATTTATTTATTCTATTGTTTGTAAACAATACATCACCATAGCAACATACCGTCACGCATGTTGCGTTTTGCTGTTTTGCCATTCTGTCAGACTGTTTGTGTGTTTTTCCCGTGCTATGAGGAAGGTGCTGTCCCTCTACCTTCAGCATGAATCCATGTGAATGCAGCATTAGGTTCGGAATAGCGTTCATGTTTTAACCAGAAACTCTGTAGCAAAGTATATTCGTCAATGAGCTTTTCCATGACACTGATGGGACAAAAAAGACATTGTGAAACAACTGGCAATGGCTGTGAAGAAGAAGTTAATATGAGGCATCAGCAGTCTGTGTTTGTCTAATCAAGTCAGTACTTTTCAAATATTCCACATTTGATTAATCTAACGCGGACTGCTGGTGCGTGGACTGTGGGTACTCTCCCTGTCACTCACACCGAAATCGATTTGAAAAGGGATCCCATCATGCAGAGGGGGAACAGCCACCAAAAATAGTTTGAACGTACTGTATATATGGACACGAATATCTACCCATAAAACTCAGTTAAACAAACCTGGAGATTCTATAAACCAAATCCAAAATGAAACTAGACATCAAAACCCACCCGTCTATACTTGATACAGTACATGGCGGCAGTGGCATGCTGCTTTAAGTCGGGGTGAGCCAAGGCATCTATCCATTAGTAAGAGGAACACTTCTTGTGACACCACTAACTAATTGAATTAAATAACAGAACGCTAGAAAGGAGATTATGATCATGTTGCTGCGTTCAGGAAGGGGCCTCCATTGAATCATTTGATAAACAAATGTTGCTTGAAACAAGTCACAGGTTTTTTTGGTATTTGGGGTGAACTCTCCCAGCTCATAATAAGTTACAAACCTGTTAACCAGCAACTGCATGTTCATTGTGAGGGTTAATGATTAGAAATGAGCTAGTCTCAGCTGGTTCATACCTCCATATCCACTGTACATGGTAGCTGTTGGTTGATGTCAAGTCTTCTAGCAATGGGTCCACTCAGTTCCACAAACAAACGCTCAGTCCTCTCTCCAAGTGGTATCTCAGTTCTTCTTATACTCTCTGACCTCTCCTTTCTCTTTTACTCTTTTTCTATTCTCTCTATCCGGGCCTATTCCCCCTGTTCCCTTAACCCATATCCACTGTCACGCCTGTTAATCCTTCGTCCACTCACCTACTGATCCCCTCTCTCTCTCTCTACCACACTGATATGAGAAGAGGAGGGGGAGGAGGCGGAAGAGGGAGGAGGAGGGAAAAGGAAACAGCAAAGGCCGGCCCTCCCTCCTCTTCCTCCTTGCTGACGTCACTGGTTTTTCCTGCCCCTCCTTCTCCCTGTTGAACATTATTGTTTCTGACCACACACTTCTTTACCCAGCATCCTCCCACCACAGGATCAATATCCATTCTTACAAACATAACTCTCATCACTGCAGGTTTCCCTGCTTCCATCACAGTTAGTTGTATGGTTATCTGGAGTTGGTCCCCGGGCGGCGCACTGGGGCTGCCCACTGCTCCTAGTACTTAGGGCAGGTCAAATGCAGAGAATGAATTTCCCTACAGGGATCAACGAATAAATGATATCTTAACCAAGTGCACCTACTCACAATTCTGACATTCTCTACATGAGTATTTCAATTTTATGCTACTTTATATTTCTACTTTCTGACATTTCAGAGGGAATTGTAATACAAGATGTGATGTAAGATACATACAGTGACTAGATACTTCAATGAAGTTTTTATACAAAGCCTTTATCATAAGCTAATGCAATACACTATACATAACACTTTGTTAAAGACTAAAGTAGTGGTTCCCAACCTTTTTCCTTAAGGGACACCCTATCATTAGGTAAACGGATGACCCCTGACAAAGTGAATTTTTTTTATTTATTTAGGTAAAACAAGCAATTTGGATGAACTCTGAGCAGAGATTAGTTTTCCTAATAATTTTAGTTAGTTAGAGTTAGGAGAATAAACACTGAATTTGTCAAAATGTCAAACTGAAGCCTATCAAAAAGTGTATTTTGAGTTTTCTTACACCCCTTAAAATCAAACAGGCTTCCGATCCCTTGTGGGGGTCCTGACCCCCAGGCTGAGTACCACTGCACTCAACCAGTTCCTAACCTTTTTTGGCTTGTGACCCCACTTTTCATATGTCTCTCAGTTGTTAGCAGTTCCACCAAAAATACATTTCCCATCTCAACTTCTCATAGTGTATGGTTTCATTTAAATAACATGTTGAGGCCAGTAGAGGTACATTTATCTAATATTTCACAAAAAGCAAAGACTGGAGAAAAGTCCAAAAACTGAAAACAGATCATTTTCTTCCTGGTTCCAAGAGCCCAGCATTATCCCATTTCCATGGAGAAAAAGACATCCATGCTGTGTAATAGAAGCATCTGACACACAAATATAATAATTAACAGTTCACACATAGTGACCCTCCTCACGGGAGCGAGCACCCATTCACCTCTGATCTGGGGGCATTTATTGGTGGAGTGGAAAATCAGGGCTAAAATCACAGTGTGAACTCGACATTAGAGATTATGACATTGAGACTAGAGACATTATTGGGCTAGGGGTTAGGGTTAGGGCAAAATTGTCCTCGAGCTACGTTTGGGTTGACTCAAACTCAGCACATGATCAGACAACACACCATTCCCACAATGAGGCCTGGGGGGCTCTGGGGATTTCTTTGCAGCAGGTACTTGCTATGCTGAAAGGTTAAAGAAATCCTGAAGGAAAACTGCTGAAGTCGGAAGAGAATTTTTCTTTTAAGAAGATGCGTTATCAGTAAGTCATCAGGAGTGGACAAGAGTAGAGATATCAATCCAATTCCGAATTTGAAGCAGATCTTAAGAACTGCTGTTCATTCACAGTTGCCATGAAATTTAACAGTGCTACTTCCTGGAAACACTTCACCTTCTGAGGTGAAATCATCCTGCAAGGGAGAACTCTACACAAACTGTCGACTGCCATCAGCCTAACAATCTCTGTGGGGTTGCAAGTCAATTATAAATCATTAAAGCTGGAAGGTAATTCCTTCATTTTCACCAGAATTTAATGTTCTCCTGCAGCTGCATCAGGACTGCGAAAAGTTGCTGCTAATTCAAACAGATCACTTCCTGCTGCTGTTGTTTCCCATTAAAGGCTGGAAGCTGCACTCAGTGAGCAGTGTGCATGGCTATTAGCTATTGGGACTGTACTGATTTCAACTGCAACAGTGAACTGTTCTTTAGCTGCAGAGCATAGCTGGTCCAACATATCACACACACACACACACACACACACACACACACACACACACACACACACACACACACACACACCACACACACACACACACACACACACCACCACACACCACACACCCCACGCCCACTCACTCAATCAAATTCAGCCACTTTCTGCCTAGTCATCTGCGTGCACACACACACAAACACACACACCTTGTTGAAATGAAACCACATTCTTTCCATTCCCGTCATATTTGTAATACCCTGACTGAACAGGTATGCTTGTTTCCTTCAACCTTTTCTACATCTTCTGTTAAAGAGACAAACAGGGGGCCACTATAAAAAAATATGCCAAAGTGCTCCTAGAGATCAGAAACTCTACACACGATACTCACTGAGCACACACACAGTTTGGTTTATCAAGCTGATCTTTCCGTACATGGTGAAACTGTTGACATGTGGGGAAAGGATGCATTTTACCAGTGACTTCCTGCTAGGAATGTAAAGATGTCACAGTTAAATCACGATGATACTCTTTTTAAACAGCAGAGGGCACTATCTTCTTCTGACTTTGCTTGTTTGATGTCCTACGTCCCTCACACCAGTAGCTGCAGGCGCAAAGACATCAGTTTCATTTTACAAAGACAAAAATGAGCATTGTTTTGCAGTTTATCCCCTCCCCCAGAAACAAAAAAGGAGTCTTTAATTTAGTCATAATTTGTCTCTCATCTAATTTAGTGAAAAATCATATTGTGAACCCAGTATCGTGAATTGTATCGAGTCATAAGTTGAGTGTATCATTACATCCCTACTTTCTACATGTGTCAAATTTGAAGTTGGCCCAAAAACTGGTTCCAATAAAACAATACAATTTGTTACCAGAAATAAACATTAGACAAACAACTGCAGCCCTCAACAAACTTGTGCTACTCCCAAACTTTGTCCTCCTCCTCACCTACAGTCTGTAACTGATTCAGTAGACACTGAATGCTTCAAACAGAGGAAGCAGTGGAGGAAGGCGGGGGAGGGACTCCCACCTTGGTGGCGCCCTTGTAGGGGAGGATTTCATAAACAGAAGAATCCAGAAAACTTGACAGTGAAGGTTCATGGAGGCTGGTACAGCATGAGACTGACCACACACACACACACACACACACACACACACACACACACACACACACACACACACACACACACACACACACACACACACACACACACACACACACACACACACACACACACAGCTGCAGTCCTCCTCAGGTGAAAACTGTACATAGGAACCACAACAGATTTTCTGAGCTGTCTGCCATACAACTTTTCAGATTTACAAGTCACACTTTATTTTCATTTTCATCCACTGTCTAACAAGGGTGGGTGAAAAATTGGAATCATAGATGCATCACGGTTATTGCTGCAACGAATATGTCTTGATGCACAAAAGTAAATAATCTGAAATGTAAGACTCAACATTAGGATCGCCTGCAACAAAATGTTACCTGGCTGCAAAGTGGCAGATCTCCACACGACATGTGCAGAAGACACAACGTCCTTACAGATGTGTGAGCAACCAAAGACGGATGCCACCCGAACGGCACCCGCTCAGCAGCAGCTTTTTATTCAGTCATATAGAACAGGCCAAAGGCTGGGTACTATTCACTAGACCCTCTGTAACAACACATATGTAATAACTCAATTACCAACCAACAACAATTAACCAATGTTAAACTTATATTAAATATTAAATTAGACTCCTATGACCTGTGGACCTGCCCTCAGCTTTATAGGTGATTCTGAGCTTAGTCTTATAAATACAGCCAATACAGGGTCAACAGGCTATGGTCTTTAGACTGGGCTCCACAAAAAGACAATGGAAAAGCTTCCGCTTATTCAGAATACACTTTAAAATTCCCACATTTTGTAATAACCACCTCAATATGTAATTACATATATATATATGTATGTATGTATGTATGTATGTATGTATGTATGTATGTATGTATGTATGTATGTATGTATGTATGTATGTATGTATGTATAGTTTAAAGTAATTCCATATTGCATTCATGCTGTTATAAAATGCAGCTGATTGTTTTGTTTGCAGGTGTTATTACCGAATGAAATGAAGATGTATTACATATTGTCATATTATTACATAATGTGTTGTTACCCCACCCCCACTCTTAGGGAACTGCTCACATCTCCACACCCCCAGTCTGTAGCTTCCAGAGAGACAGAAGACATGAAACAACTGCTCCAATTTCTGGTTGCATCTGACTTATACCCACTCTGCTTAATAAGGTCACTATCACAAGCAACCAATCCAATGTATCAGAAGGGTGCATCCATACTGAGTAGCTCTCCCCATGATAAGTACACCCATCTTAAAAAGTCCTATGTGTAACATTGAGATATATTATTCATAGGTATGTTTTCATTAGTGTATAATCACACCAACAATCTGCACAGCTGGATACCACAAAATCCTACACACTGGCCCTTTATAAAGTACAACTCTTCTTTTTACGAGGCGTTACGGGCTGAACTTCAGAAGGTGACAGGTTAAAGAAATAAATAAACAGAAATAACTACTCTGCTTTTAATGCATTTAATTAACTTATCTTTATTTTATTCTATTTTATAGTGACCAAAAAACTAAAATATACTGAATTCAGTAAAAAGGTCAACTGAATCAAGAACAGTGCTGCAGCCATTCTATCTTGGTTGTCTGTGTGGCCCGTTTCCAATTCCCTGGATAGGGTTATTTTTAACCTTATCCAGGGAACGTTAACAGAGCTCCACAATGCCCTGCTTCGAACTTTCAGAATGAACCTCTGGTCTCATCTGTATAGCTAATCTCCTGCAGCCATGAAATCCTACAAAGTCATCAAATGTACTCGATGCGTTTTATTCCCTGAAAAATGACTGTTTGCTAAACCCTCCTCTGAACCCTGAGTGT